TCCTCCTGCTTCCTCCTTCAGAAACGAATAAGTGCACCAATCATCAAGGCTCATCTTTCAAGAAAAATACCTTCATATAAATCTGATCTTTTCTAAAAGTTTAATCCATCTAATTTTAAATTTACAGGACATAACAATATTATTATTGGAGCTTTTTTCTTTGTGTTGCTGTAGCATATGACATTATGTAAATTAAACAAATCATGTCTCTAAAGCTCTTCTGTCAACATCTCAAATCACAGCCTGAGGCTCCATCTGCGTCTGATGAGTCAAAACCTGTAGAGTCGGTTTCTGAGCCAGAAACAACCTTCACATGTTTTCAACTGATATTCCTTCTGTGTCCAACTAAAGACTGATTTTAAATACTGTGTAGTAATCTAATTTGTTCACTTTAATCCACTATAACAAGAACTTTATAACTTTTAAAGTGTCAAAGCATCAAAGATGAAGAGTCTCCACAGCTGACACTCTTAAGTTTCAAAATAGGGTTTAATTAAAATGTAGGTGAATTAGAAAAAAACCGAAACATGTTGTCAAATTATGTATATTTTAACCGCCACCAACTAGCAAAGTCATCTATTGTCTTAGAGAAATGTGTTTGAAAAGTGACACTTTTTATGCAGGTTTATTTTGTGAATTTGGAAATGAAGATGTTTTCTGTAAATCTGTCGACTTTCCACTCCCAGGTGCACCTTCATATACGGCACCCCCACCATGTACGTTGATATGATCAGCCAACCAGACTTGGCCAAATACGACTTATCATCAGTTGAGACAGGTGAGAAAAAGATTCTGCTTTTATAGACAGCAGCAACAAACATTTGATTGTTTAAACAAAAGACGTGACAATTTTAATGATTTAATGCCTTTTTTTTCAATCGTCTGATATAAAAGAATATTTACATATTTTAAATACTTTTACATGATGTTTATTTTGCTGTAGGCATCATGGCTGGTTCCCCGTGTCCTCCAGAACTTGTAAAGAGGGTAATTTCTGCAATGGGCATCAAAGGAATAACAGTGAGTGGAGCTTACACATATATAACTTAAATATTGTTGTTTTTAAATTGTTATTATGGATTATATTATATCTCACCAAGCAACTGATTAAAAAAAAACAACTTTACTTTACAACATAAATCAATGGTGCAATTCTGCTTTCACACACTAGTGGGAGACAAATCCTCAGAAAAACATCCATGTGATGTAACAAGAGCATGAATACACAGCACATGTGAGCACACTTTATATCAGGCATCAGTACATATATTTTAGACAAAAAGAAGACTTGATTTTGTAAAAGGTTTATTGGATGTGAGCGCTTGTTTACCACGTCCAAAAGTCCAGGAAATGTATAAAGATACTGAATATACATAAGATATGCATAAAGTCAACAAATCGGTAGCCCTCATAGTTGTTGTGGAGGAAATGATTCACTTCTTTCTTCCAGTTTCAAGTTAAGTGTTAAAAAAATTTAAAATATGATACAAATAATGATCCGTTTTCATGTATTCATCTTTTTTTGGATTCTCACTTGTGTACATTCAGCAAAAATTAACTAAATCCAGTTTTATAGATCTTTTAAAGAGGTCATATTATGCAAATTTTCAGGTTAATACTTGACTACTATAACAGTTTTACATGCTTTAATGTTTAAAAAACACATTATTATTTATTAAACCACCGCCTCCTGAGAGCCCAGTCAGCTCCCATAATCCTGAGCAGCGGGTCTGTCACCTAGTCTATAGGTGGAGCCTGTTATAATGTGATGTAATAGAGAAAATGGAAGAAAAGGCTGAATACAAACAAAGTGTGTAATTAACTCTCTTTAGTGTGGACGTTTCAGACCTTTTACATGCACAAAAACATCTATATAACAAACTAAAGCACATGAGAAACCCCAAAAAAGCATAACATGGCCTCTTTTAACATGCGTTCATACATTGAAAATGGCACTGGAAGTAAAAATACAGCTTGGAAATTGAATGCATTGATCCACATGTTAAGCTTACCCACACCTTCAAAGTCTTATTGTCCCTTAAGAAACACGTCTTCAGTCGCTGTGTCCTTTTTTTTGTGGTCAGTCAGGGTATAAAACTGACATCACAAAGTAGAAAAGAGGGTGAACGAGTGCTGATTCTTGCCTGAGCGATAGTTGTAGGATGTTTCCTCGTAGTTTGTAAGAGGGCTTTGTGTTTTTGTCTCTGTGTCTTTATCGCTGTTGGAGCCAGTATTTGTGCTAATATAATCTAAGACTTGACAGAGGTGTCAATCCTCTCATATTAACTCTCTCTGTAAGAAAGCAAAGTAAGTATATTTGTCAAAATGTCAGACTTTTCCTTTTAATCTGGTTTGAGTTTTTTTTTTTTTTTACTGTTAAAATGTTTCTTAAAGGTACTAAACTGCACCAGGAAAAAGAGAACAGCACATCCTGTCCCTTAAAGCTTGCAGTAGGTAAAAAAACTTTTTATCAAAAACAACTTCTTTGTGTCATATTTGCTTTCACTATATCCTGACAGCAGAACATGAGACAGATAAACAGTTAAAAAAAAATCAGTAAGAATCCACAGAGTCCGAACAAAAACAACCAATCAGAGCCGAGAAAGATAGTTGATTGTTGAACAGTTTTGCTAAAAATAGAAACGTTTTTCCTTTTGCGTTTTTAAAAATATTCTGTGATTATATGAACACATTCTGGAAATGATCCTCATCCACAAAAATGAGTGAAAATGTTGTAGTATGGATACCACGCCAGTAGGTGGCAGTCTAACTTTACAACACAACGCTTTCCTCTACAGCGCCAGAGTATAAACAGGAAGAGAAGATTGCAAATGACTACAAAGCATCAAAATGTATCTATTAGGTTGAAAACGTAATAGTCGTGTGTGGAGTGGAGCCGTGTTGTCACCGTATTTGGCAATAAGTAATGGCGGCCATAAGGCGTTTTCAGGTCACCAAAATGGCCAAAACACAACAAAAGTTTACTGTTTTATGCAAAAAATGCTGTCGTGTAAACAAGGAATGAGACTCAACAATTAACTAGCTTTCTCGGCTCTGATTGGTTGTTTTCATTCGGGCCCTGTGGATTCTTGTAAATCCCATTAGGAGCACTAGGAGGCACCAGAGGAACCAGATCACAGATTACCTGTCTCATGTACTACTGTCAGGATGTAGTGAAAGTTTCAGTAAATATGACAAAAAAATAAAATATAAAAGTTACCTACTGCAGCTTTAATGCTTCACTTATTCAAATGCATCCTTTGTTTTGGTGGTTTCCACTTCATACTTAAGTCTTCATCTTTGGATATAAATGGATGAAAATGAAAGGTCCATAAAGCTCCCCGTGTGTTTGTGTGTGTGAGAGAGCGACGTGTGTATCTATGCATGTGTTTGTTTACACTGGTGACAACATGTGGCAGAGAAATAGATGGACAGTCTTGAAGTAGAACGAGTTAGCATTGCTTTTGTTGCATTAGTAGCCGGTCACCTGGACAGGCTCCTCCTCAGCGTCTCCTGTGGAAAAGACACAAAATCAGCAGCCAAATTAAACAGTCTGCCCTCCAACCAGAGACCCCATGACCTGGACTCTGTGTACTGGACCCCAGGGCCAACGTGGAAAAGTTCAGACGGGGACAGAACAGGAGGACAGAGAGTTCTGCGGTCAGGAAGAGAGAGGTGAAAAACAAAATCATGCAAAGCCAACTCTTCGGCCACTCCAAAACCAACGTAAACCTTATGTGGGAACGTCTGAATCCAATGTCGCATTGTACAAAAGTCTAGCTGAAAACCGTTACACCAGACCATCACAGCAGAGATGTGATTTTGGACTTTAAATGGAGGCCATAATGAGAAGAAAAACTGCACCTCAGCTATTTGCAAAGGTAGTGATCAGTGAGGGCGTCACTTGAAAACTTTTCTCTTTAAAATTTAATTGTTAGGGTTCAAGTTTTATGGTTATTTGGATCTTCATCAACAGCTGAAGTTTCAAAAACATCATAAAAAAAGCTAAAATGTGATTTATGAACACCATTTTAAAGCAACATTAGATTTATGTCTTTGGCGACTCCTAGTGGTGGAGTCAAAATACAAAAACGACCTCTAACCATCATCTTTAGAGGCTCATAACTTTAAAGGAAGGGTTCCACATTTGGATACGTTTATTATTTACTTTTTTGCTCAGGGTTAGATGAAAAGATTTATGCCGCTCTCATGTCTATGCAAAAATATGAAGCTACAGCCAAGGGTGGTTACCTTGCCTTAGCATTAAGACTGAAAGCAGGGGGAAACAGCTAACCAAAAAAAATCCACCTCCCCAGCATCTCTAAAGCTCACTAGTGAACATGTTATATCTAATTTGTTTAATCTGTAATTTCAGCACATGGTTTTTACATTTAAACAGGATATAATGTTTTAATTAGTGAGCTTTAGAGGTGGTTTTAGACTGATTTAGTTAACTTTTGGCCCCTGTTTCCAATATTTCAGCTCTCCTGGCTCTCAGCAAGAAACTGAACGTGCATAATTCTCAAGTATCGACATAACCCTTCAATGATCTTATGTCCTTTTGCTTGTTCGGAGGCAGGTACCTGTACAGCTGCGTGTTCAAATGCGTGTGCCCTTTCTAGGTCTTTTCGCCTTGACTCTGCAGCCACTGAAGGCGGTGCTGTCTCTGACTTGTTTGCCTTTCTGCAGAGGTGGAGATGCGCACACTGCGTCCGGACGGTTGCGGCTAGAGTCCATCCACCTGCGGGTAGAAAACAAAAGATAAGGAGCAGAGAGTTGGTTGTAGACGGCTAGTTGGTTTATGTGTGTCCATGTAGACAAATAAAGAGAGAGGCTGGTGTGAATATGAAGATACCATCTTTTAGGTGATGTTATGCCTCAGTGTTACTGTGTTTGTAGTGATGCTTTAGAGGTGGCGGTCAGTATTGTTCCCTGACTTTTCATCATAAATTTAGAGGTGCAGTGAGGAGTTTTCTTGTAAACGAACGGTTATCTTCGTAATCAGTATAACTGATGCATCGTTTGTATCCTTGAGGTCTGACAAATGTGTTTTTCTTCCTCACAAAACATTCAGAAACTTAATTTTTCTTAAAGCACCAGTGTAAAGGATTTAGTGGCATTGCAGATTGCAACCAACTGAATACCCTTCAAAATATGTAGGAGAAACTACTATGTTAGCAACGGCTAGATCTAGAGTCAGTGTTTGGTTTGTCTGTTCCACTGTAGAAACATGGCGTTTCAACATGGCGGACTCTGTAGAAGAAGACCTCCGCTCCTTCTGTCGATAAAAACAGCTCATTCTAAGGTAACAAAAACACAATGATACTCATTTTCAGGTGATTTATACACTAAACAAAACTTACCTATGAATATTTATGCCAATATATCCTCTTAAATGTTGCACACTGGACCTTTTTTTAAAAGTTGGAAACCTTCCAAATATCTGCAGAACTAATCCCATCAGCCTCAGCTGTACTTGTACACCCCAAACTAACAGTGTCTAACACAGAGGATGCTGATGTTAGCTGCTAGCGTGGCTGTATAGGGGTGTTCCAGGTGAGTCTCTTACCTGCGCAGTGGAGCTAGCTGGCACGTGCAGCTCCATGGGTTGTTGGAGAGGGTGAGGTTGGTGATGGTGCCGAACTCGAGGCTTTTGGGAAGGGACTTTAGCTTGTTGTTGTCCAGGTGCAGTGACTTGACTGCCGTCACACCAGTAAACGCACCATCAGAGAACTGGAAAAAGGTAGATTCATACATGAGTTTTTATATAGATTTATATATCCAAAGCCATTCACACACACACACCAGTGGCAGTGAGCTACCATGCAAGGTG